AAATGAACATCATCTCCTCCTCATAAATAAAGGGAAAGAATTCTCAACCATTGTCCTGGAATCCAATGGGTTCATTAAACCATATTTTATTTTTTGCCGAAAGTTTCACAGAAAACGACTAGATTTTAATTATCTTTAGATGTCCAAATTTCTTTCTAACCTCCCCCAAAAAAGTCAACTCTTTCTTTGGCTCCAGATTTGACCTCAGCTGCAGAGTGCACTTTTCTTTAACGATTTTAATGTGGATTCTCATAGCTTACTTTTCCCCTTGCAATAGAAGCTTCGTGGGGGGGAGGGGAGAAATTCAGTTGCAAACTTAGGTTTTGATATTCTCTCTCTCTCTCTCTCTCTCTCTGTTATTATTTTTCACCAAAGTTAAACAAATGCCACTACAGCAAATCAGAATGAAAAACTCACAATTGAATAATCATACAAACTACAAACTCTTGCATGGCTCACCCTTGCCACATGAGGAGAAGGAAACAGAAAGATACAAAGGCAGAGAGAGAACATTATTATTGCCCAGTTCACACTTTTATGTACAAGAAAGGGAACCAATCAAAGACCTCTTCCTATGTGAGAAAAGTGTCACCATGTCAATATGCAATTTGCTAGAATTCCAATCTCCTATTTAGAATTTCCTTTTATTTTTGACTTACCTAACCTTTCCCATGAGCTTTCCTGTGCTACTTGTGACCATGAAAACATATTCAAACTTCAGGACCCAACAAAAGAACCTTTTCCAAGCTCATCACATTCTTAGATTAGCAGTATAAATGGAATATAAATGAGGCAACAAATGATAGTCTTGCCTTTTCACCTCTAGCACCAGCTACAGTGCATTTGCCATCAGAACTGAATTTCCCTGACACAGCAAACAAATAATCAGTGACTTAATCATAAGCCCTATTGTCATTGCTAGAAATTTTATAGGACGAAGGGAACTTTATCTGTCCTCTTTTCAAAACCAAAACAAAAAAACAAAACAAAAGAAAGCAACCCAACAACTTAACCTGCCACTAGCCTTGCTTACACATTTTTAGTAAACAAGAATAATCCTTTCCACTTGGAGCTTAATCAGGAAAAAAAATGAGAGACGGGTAAAAAATCCATTATAGCACAAATGAATACATGAAAACAGCATAGTTATGATTCAAATATGCTTGTTTACAATTTACCAGCTCTTTAAAAACACTCGGTGATGTGTCCAAGAGCTAGTTCTAAGCCAGGACTCTACTAACTGATATGGCCCATTTAGAATCTGAGTCTTCAGGAAAGCAGACCTCACCAGGTCGTTTTATCAGCCCTAAGCAAGCCCAGTGCCAACTAATGGGTTTAAGAGAAGAAAGAAAAGGAAGGATTTTTAAGAGAAAGAAGCCAGAAGAGGAAAAATGAGAAGAAGGAAAAAAAGGAAGAGGAGAATAAAGGTGTTCCAGTATTTGTTGTTGCGACATTTGCAGAACTTGGCTTAACTGGTATCCATCCAGCAAAGGTCAAAGGAACTAATTTAAAATAATGGAAAATAAAGGTCTGTTCTGTTTTGAATGTTGAGTTTTGTGTTGTGTTTTAGTTGTTGAATGCAATAGATAAGATCCTATTGTGACTGAATTCTCTTTAAAATATAAGAGAAATCTATACTTTGTCCAGTCCAGAATTGTGAAGGCTGGCTAGTGAGCTGCATTTTGTTGTAGCCTGGCAATATAATCCATCCTGCTTGCTCCGTTCCAGTACTCTGTTGCTTGTTGTATTTTGTGTGTGTGTGTGTGTATGTGTGTGTGTGTGTGTGTGTGTGTGTGTGTGTGTGGATGCATTAATAATCACTGATAGGAAAGGTATGTACTGTGCTATTACCACATTGTAAAGTGTGTTCATGTCCTGTCTACTGAGATGCCCTGTTTAAATGTGTTAACAAGGGAAAAGTTAATACTCTGGACAACTGTTAAAATCCCTCATTGACCTATGCTTTTGTATAGTTGCAGTCTTTTTTTTTCTTTGAAAAGAGAAAAAGACATAATTTAGCTTATTTTGTTATTTGTGCAACAGAGTTGCTACACAGACCCCTTAATGCATGTAAAATTATATTAACAACTTATAAAATACGGAATCAGCCTTAATAGTCTCCATTATTTAGGAAATGGGAAAAGCAGTCTAGGTTAAAATGTTTTTAAGACAAAATAGAGACTCATTGACATTGTTAGGTAATATAAGTCAGAACTATAAGGAAATAAAAAATTACACCACAAAATACTCCAACCTCCTTTAAATCCTAAAACTATAATCTGAATCATTTTCCCCTTCACCTCTTTTCTAGAGTTGAAAAGTTAATAATAGAGCATGCCACCCTATGTCTTAACTACTATAATTCACATCTGGTAAGCCTCTCTCCTGTGTCTAACTCTAAAAATCTGGCATGAAATTTTATTTGCCCAGTTTTCTTAGCATTAGCTCCTGCCTGGAAGCAAGAGTCTGGAGTGACTCAATAATTTTAGAGTCCTTGTCTGGACTATTATTTTATGAAATGGTATCATACCTCTTCTCTATCCTATCACCTTAGTTGAGTTATTCTTTAAATTTGTTCTTATTTTATCTACCTTATGACTGTGTGTTCCTTCCAAACTATCCTTTGCAGTCAAATTACTGCCTTCTTGTTAGTGTGTGAGGCTTCTTATCTTTCAGGGTATCCCATTCACTCATCCCATTCCATGCTGTTAAAAGACATTAACTTGAGAGAAAATTGAAAGAACAAGGGTTGTAACCGGGATTTGTAACTTCACATCTGAACTTAGCATTAGGAATTAAGCTTAGCATGGTATTTAAAAAGCGAGTATTCACTTGTGGAAAACATTAAGCACATTGTGGGTATTTGTGTGGGGAGAGGGGTGAACCAAAATGATCTCCATCATTTTGATAAGAATATCTCCCCACCACCACCACCACTACCATGGAGTTTGTCCATACTCTATGAGAAACTTCCCTAATGGAGCCCCCTTACATTTATTTTATTTTCTTTCAGATGCAGACCTGTGATTCCATCAGTGCAAGAAACTCCCTCCTCCAGTGCAGATCAGGAACTCATCTCTAATTAATCTGAGAGTTGCCTGGGGGCACTGAATTATTAAGTGACCTACCCCGTGGTCACATAGGACTTGCACCCAGTCTTTCTGCCTCAAAGGCAGCCCTTTGGTCCATGTGCAATGCTACCCCTTGGATGCTTAATAAATGTCTGGAAATAACATCCAACTTCTGTTCAATGACACTAATGCAATGTGCTGGTAACCTCAAGAAATTTCCTAATGGAGGGACAATAACTCTGAGTGACTAAAATCACACTTGTTGGAACATGTTACTCTCAGCAAAATACTTGAATGAAATTCATATGAAGCTCTTTAATTCTGAAAGAGATTCATCCTTTTAAGCTAAGACAATATAAATATGATTTTGATGATATGGTGTCTTGGCACCTCTTATTTTCTCTTAGCCTTTATTCTTAGGGCTTCTCACATTAAAATCTACTACTGCATGTCAAATTCAAACAAATGCTGGAACAGTTGAGGAATTTTCTGAAAGCTATGTAGAGAGGTCCTAGTGAAGCAATTACAAGTGGCATCAATAGACAATAAATAAGTTGTCAGCACATTAGGCACAAAGATCCAGATTTTAAAAGAGAGTAGAAAGCACTGAATTCTGCTTTCACAGACCAAAATAATTAGGATTCTCCAGTGTGATAACAATGATAAAAAGTTTTTTTAAAAAACTTGATATCACCTCACTATGCAATGCTCTATCCCTAGATAAAAGGGTGTGTGTGTGTGTGTGTATGTGTGTATGTGTGTATGTGTGTGTGTGTGTGTGTGTGTGTGTGTGTGTGCTTCTTATAATAGAAACAAGCACCTTAGAATCCTTGCAGATTTCAGTGAAAAGAGGAAAATGAGAAATAGGTTTGGAGAGTCTTTCCTGAATCTAACTCTAAAATGCAGAGGAAGGAAGGAAGGAAGGAAGGAAGGAAGGAAGGAAGGAAGGAAGGAAGGAAGGAAGGAAGGAAGGAAGGAAGGAAGGAAGGAAGGAATCTGTTCTCTAGATTCATTCTCTATAAAAAACTTTCTTCCTGTTAGCATTCTGATTTAAAGTACCCTCTTACTACGTTCCATTTTGTTTTTTCTTTCAATTTGGAGCCATGGCATGTATATTTACTATTATATTTTATGGCGATTTTACCACTTACTGTAAGAGTAACATGACATTCTATAATTTTGTTTGCTGTTCTCTTGGAAGATTTATTACAAGTAAAAGATATTTTCACAAGTATCAACACTAGCTGCTGTAAATTCTAGAGAAAGACATTTTTTTCAATCAGAAACTTCTGTTAACCAGCACATCTAATCTCATTTTAATAATAATTAAGCATCTTAATAATGACTCAAAGCCCTATGAATATCGAAGTGCATTCTGAATCATCAAAAATGATTAAATTATACATTATATCATACTTGAAGTCTTTGAGAATTATCAACAAGTATGTACAAATCAAAACCCTTTCTTGAGAGGCAGGATGAGATGGTGTCAAGTGTGCTGGACTTAGAGGCCAAGGACCTGGGTTTACATCCCAGCTCCACTGGTGACTCCCTAAGTGACTGGGAAATCACTTAAGATCACTGGGCCTTAATTTCCTTATCTTTTAAATAGAAAGTGTGAAACAAGATGACCTCTGAAGTTCAGATCTAAATCTATGATACTCATCAGAATATTTGATCAGTCAGGGCATTTCCCTCCTGGTAATGAAAATTTTGCTATAGTATTCTTTATCTCATTTAGCCAGCTATTTACAGTTTTGTGAATTGTATTAACATGTTTTCCATCTATTTTGTTATTCTACTTTTTAGATTTAGACAGAAATAATCCATTTTGATTTTAAAAGTAAACAAAGAAGTAGGTTTTGATTTTGGCTTAATATATAAAATAACAGCTAATGTTTTCTTCATTTTCTTTTTTGGATATTGCAGATGAAATAGGAGAAGAAAACCTAGCTGACTCATTGCAAGATTTATACAAGGCATTGGAGAGAGCCAGTTTGTCACCTTTGGGGGAACACCGAATTTCAACCAAGCTGGAATACAAGAAATCTTTCATAAAAAGGTGTAGCGATCCAATAGTGAATGAAAAACTGCATAGGCTGCGAATTCTTAAAAGCACTTTAAAGGTAGGATTGCAAGCAGAGGAAAAAAATCCTATTTCAAAGTTCATTTTTGAACTAGAAATGAATTGTTCTAACATGGTGCAAAAATTCAAAATAAGATGTTTTCTTTTTTTGACTTTGACTTTGTTTTGGGAGCATGGGAAACCATTGTGAAGAATGGGAAAAGAAAAGCATGGTCCTGCCATTCTTAGTATAATAATTGATTTGGGAGGAGAAAATATCATCCTAATTTTTCATTAAAATCTCAAATAGATGGCAAATCCTTTGTGACTTAGCTATAGGTGAGAAATAGGAAGTAATATAAAAATTTGAGGAAAATACAGAGCCTGCTTTTTCTGTGTTTTAATTTCCTGAGATAAATATTCTATGTGCTATAATTATGAGAGTGAGTTGCTTAAGGAATAAGGATAAAAATAATTACTTTTATATAGTGCTTCAAGGTTTGCAAAATGCTTTACAAATATTATTTCACTTGATCCTCATAATAACCCAGAGAGGTAAGTGCTATTATTATTCTCATTTTCAGGAGAAGAAACTATGGCAGACAGAGGTTAAGTGACTTTCCCAGGGTCACACAGCTAGTAAGAGGCTGAGACCTAGACCAACTCTAGGTCCAGAGTTTGTATTTTGACTTAGTCAAGCAACTGTGAAGATGTTTTTGAGTAAAGGAATGGCATGGCTAGATCTATACATAAAACAAATGAGTCTAGCAGTGGTCTAAATGATTAATTGGAGGTAGAGGTGGGCAGTCTTGTAAGGAGGCTACTGCAATAGGCCAGATGGGAAGTAATGAGGAATAATGAGCAAGGGTAGAAATTAGCTTTAGTGAGGGGTAGGGATACTCACTCTCTGATAGAAAGAGACGAGAGAGTGGTAATACTGAATTTTAATACCTGGAGTGTAGGACTTTTGTTGATATATATTAGATGGCTTCAGTCTTAAGGAAATAGAAAGCTAAGTCATCTGCCATAATCATGAGGAATGAATATATGTTTGAGAGCAAAAAGTCAGACACAACTAAACACATTTGAGAGTTTGAGGAAAGAGGTAATTATTGGAGCAGTCATTATAAAGAATATAATGAGTCAGTAATAGTAAATGGTACTGAAAAGCCATTCTGAGGGACTAGAACAATAAATTGTTATAAGGTAATCAGCTTAATTTTATAACTTTCTCTAGCAGCACTTAGCAGCTTGCATTGTTATTCAATAGTGTCTGACTCTTAATGACCCTGAGGACCACAGCATGCCAATACTGTCCATGAGATTTTCTTGGCAAAGATACTAGAGTGGTTTGTCATTTTCTTCTCCAGCTCATTTTATAGATGAGGAAATTGAGGCAAACAGGGTTAAGTAACTTTCCTGTCACACAGCTAGTAAGTGTCTGAGGCCAGATTTGTACTTACAAAGATGAGTCTTCTTGACTTCAGGCCTGGCACTCTATCCATCTAGCTTTCCCCAAGCTCTCAAACCTATACCCATTCCTAGCTGCCCAAAGAGATAGAGATAGAGATGTGTTAAATTGAGGGTAGTTTCAGAGGGAAGGCACTAAGATTAAGGAGCATTGGGAAAACCTTCTTGAAGAAGGTGGAACTTTGGCTGAAATTCAACAGAAGCTAGAAGACAGAGAGAAGGAGGGAGAACATAGTAGGAATGGGGGGCAGCCACTGAAAATACTCAGGAGTTGGAAGATGGAGTGTCTGTGTGCAAGAAACAGAAGGGGGACCAGAGGCACTAGACTGCAGAATACATGGAAAGGAGTGAACTATAAGCAAACTGGAAAGGAAGGAAGAGGCCAGAATATGAAGGGCTAAGCCAAACAGGGGATTTTATATTTGATCCAGGAGATGAGAGGAAACCACTGAAATTTGTTAGCGTGATTGAAAATACTGAGATCAAAGAAAAGATAAGAGATTGTGGTTGCAGAGCAGGATTTCAAAATTCAAGATCTTCAATATGGAACCATTTTGAGAGATGGTGAGTGAGGTTTAAGGTATATGGCTAAAGCGGGTGAAGGAGGTTGGAGTCAATTCCCCCCAAGAGTAACTGCTAATAAGCATAGAGGAAATAGCCTAGAAGACAGGCAAACTGGGTTGGAGAAGTAGAATTTATTAGAATAAGGACCAATTCAGAAGGTAATATAGGCACGACTTGTTTTGATGAGTAGGATTAAGAAACAAAATTAATAGGAAGCAGATCAGATTTATCCATATGAGAAGGGAAACTATTTAATTATCACAATGGTGTTAGTAGGAGAACTTTGAAATGTTAACCTGAAGTTCTCAATGGAATATAGTATTAACTATGCTATTTTTTCTTTCAGGCTAGAGAAGGAGAAGTAGCCATTATAGATAAAGTTCTAGACAATCCGGATTTGACATCTAAAGACTTTCAAGAGTGGAAAGAGATGTACCTTGACCTCTTCTTGGATATCTGTCAAAAAAGCACCCCAAATGACCCACTAAATGTTTCTTCTGAAGTAGATGTACTTATATCCTCTCTAGTGCATACCCATTCATACATTGAAACGCATGTGTAATCGTCTTGTCTTCATACCATCTGGCACCCTCCTGTCCTTTGAGCAAGTGCATAAGGTAGTTTTTATATTCATGTGTGGGAAACTTGGTAAATTATATTTTAATGTTGCTGAACTATATGAAGTAAACCTCATGACATCATTGTCTTTAACGAACATTTGTATATTTTATATGCGACCAGTGCTCGGCTTGTGTTTACCTTGTGCAAAATAAACCGTCTTTAAAAATTTAAAATTAATTTTTGCAAATAGCTGTGGAGACAGAAAGACCTCAAGTAGTAAATGCTGAAGACAGTTTACTATTGGACCTTTACTGTCCCTTTAAGTTAATTTTATATGAAACAAAACTTTAGAACCGAATCACATTTTTCAGATGCAGACATCTTGTGGGAAAGAACATAAATCTTTTATATTTATTAAAATGTGCTAAGAATTTTCTTAAACACTGCACAAAGTTTAATGCTGTAGTTTTATTTTTGTGTAATGTAGGTTAGTACAAAAGAGAGTTAAGCAGAATAGAAAATCATTGCTATAAGAAAAGTTCAGGTATCAGATATCTATGTCTTAATAGTTAATTAACTTTTGAAAGCTAGATAATGAAAATATTGTTATTATAAATCTATGGGAACACTAAATGGTATATCAGGGGAAAGCTTTGTAAGGTGTTTTTTTTTTTTTGTAAAAAAAAAAAGACCAAAATCAAAGAGATAGCTGCTTTATTTTTTTCTTGTTTTAAATCTTTCTTTATTTTTCTAGTGATGGGATGTTGTGAGAGTGTATAGGAATTTGGGTATTGATTTTTTAAAACAGATTTAACTCACCCAATAAGGCAGCTACACAAAAAAAAAAACCCACCAACCTCATATTTTGGAATTGCGATTCAAAAAAAAAGTCATCAAGTATAAATTCAATAAATGAATGTTACAGTTAGCGTACTTATTTTCCTCATCTATGAATTAAACTAAGTAATTACATTTAGAGACAAGGAAGCAAAAATAACTGAAAAGTTAAAGTTTGGATGTATTAAACATTTGGGGAATATTGAGGGAAAAATTTAAGATGTACTCTGTGTGAGGCAAAAGGGTACTGTCTATTCAAAAATGTTCCAGTGAGTTATATGTGTGATAAAACAATGGACATTTTTCTTATATTCTTGAACTGTTCTATAAAATGGAGTGTGTATGTGGGGAAACTCCTCTTCATATATTTATAATTATTAGCTTGTTTTTGAACATGATCTCAGCATGATGATGATTGTGCTGCTTCTCAGTGTCTGGCTGCATAATTTAAAAGTCACAATTTGATATTTTTAGAGGAGGGATCACCCCCTCCCCATGACTGTCTATACTGAGACCTACTTTTAATCAGCTTTATTACTGTAGCCTGTTAAGCTCAGTGAATGTACTTTAATCTTGAAGAGCTCAGATACTTTCGAGTGATTATCCTCGCTGAGGAAGAGGAAGTGAAAGCTACACAGGGGAGCCTTCTTTTGTTTGCTTTAAAAATTACATTTGAATTGCTATTGTTTTGCAGACTTTGCACAATTGTACAGGGAAAGTGGCCTTTCTGCAGCCCATTTTTGGTACTTCTATATGTAATCAAAATGGATGAGGAATCACATCTTAATGTTCATATGAAATAGTATTTAAGGTCCAGTGTATTATTTTTGTCATTTAAAAAATCTATTTGTAAGAAAAAAAAATTATTTACTGCATGAGTACTGACACTGACACATTAAATTTGTGGATTTGTACATTTAGTTTTAAAAAAAATGCTTGTCCTGAAATGAAGTGTGCTCTTCTAACAAGCATTTAAAGCCCTGTTGTTGTTTAATGGACCAAAAACATATACATATATCCGTAAAAATATTTGACAGCAATGGATGGATAATGCACATAGGACAGTTGAAATCATGAGGCCACCAGGCAATTAAAGGAAAGGCCTAGGTCTGTTGCTATGCAACAGTTTATCTGCCTAAACCTTACTTTGGCTAGCAGGTAAAAATAATAATAATAATAATAATAATAATCCTTTATACATTTAAAACACTCATGGATAGCCTGGCATGAAAGTGTGCATTTGCACCATTCATTGTGATGCCTTCTTGAACAGCATTTCAAGTGCTAGTCTGACTATTCATTTCTACAAACACTTATGAAGCACCTACTGCAGATGCTGTATTAACACGAAGCCTGTAAGGGAAGAGAGAGTACTGTAGAGAAAAGTCAGAACAAATGCAGCTTTCAAAGGAATACTTACAAAGCACTTAATTTCACGCATTTCATACCCTTGTAACTTAGTCATGTAGTCATCCTGCTATATTAAGTGTTCTAAATGTTATGCTGTGGGTGGCCTAAGCCTGTTTAGTTTAAACAACCATTCTCTCTGAGACCTTTAAAAACTAGATTTCCCAGTTCATTTTGCACAAAAATAAACCTTCACCTTTCTATGTATTCCATCATGTAACTCCCCTTCCCCAGGATGAGGGGAAGAGGTTTTAAAGAAGAAGAGAAAATAAGTCAGTTTTTTTTACAAGAAAAGAATATGGGGCATATCTGGAGAGTTTCACTTAAAGAAGTTGGATACAGAAAATATTTCATTTTCTGTTAGACCCCCATCTTAACCCTCTTCATTGTGAACACTAGTTATTCATACGTCAGTGATACTAAAATTCTATCCAAAACCATGCCAGAAAATTTTAAAAACAAAACCCTACCTAACAGCCATGCCATAAAAATTACTTTCCCAAAGATTTTGTCTCTCAGTTCAATATTTGCATAAGAATTAAATAGGGCATAACCACAATTATAGTATGTTATGGAAAACCCAGTTTTCCTTCCAGCAATTTTATGCTGTTTAGTGAGGACTGTCTCACTCAACTATGTACTAGAATAACACCATCCTCTAGAGTCTGTTATTGCTAACATTTTCCAACTTGAGTGACTTTGGTTTTTATTTTGTTTCTTTAGCTTTGGCACAAAGATGATTTCCATTTAATACCTGGTAAAACTCAATTTTAAGTGATAGTTTAAAAATAAGTAAATAAAAGTAACTACCTAACCCAGTTATATTCCTCCAAGAAATCAGACTGCTGGAGCTAAATCATATCTTTCCTCTTCTCTGTCTTCTTTACTCCCATTCTGCCAAATTGTCTTCAGTTTAGTACTTTGTTCTGTGTGCTTGTCCCTTGCAATCTCATAGGTTTTAAGGATATATTGGAAGAGAAAGAATATCATTTTGGGGACAGTGTACTAGTCAGGAACATCCATTTTCATAACTGAGTCATCATAACTGCGTCCTGAAATGAGAGGAGCATGATTTAATGCACCTCAGCCTGTGTTTCCACTTTCTTTATCTTTTCCACCCTTTCCTCTTCCTCTTCTTCCGCTAATTGCAACACTGCGCACTTCAGGCCGCTCCAAGCCTGGGGCATGTCGCAACCAATGTCCTCCCAGCAGTCGAGGTCCAAATCATAGCCTACCACGTTGCGGGTGGGCACTTGTCTGGAATCTTGCCACTTTAACCCACCTAACAGAAGTGCAGTCTCCTCTACCACGGCCAGCCCATAGCAGAAGCGGTCATAGAGCAGAGGCCGCAACCGAGTCCACTGATCTGCCCCGGGATCGTAGCGCTCAATCTCTGAAAAGAGCTCATAGCGCCCCAAGAAAGCAAACACCGCGCCGCGCAGCGTAGCCATGTGGTGTCCAAAGCGGGCGATGCTCATCGGTGCCCTCTTACTCCACACCCTCTCCTGTGGGCTGAGGGAGTACACATCCCGAATGCTGCCACCCCGTTCCAAACCTCCATCCTCCGGCCGCCCTCCGAGCTTGCCCCCGGATATATACACGGTGCCACAGGCCCCTACTGCCCCGGCGTGACCATACACTGGTTGTGGCAACTCCTTGGCCGCTGTCCAGCGTCTCGGCCCAAGTCGTATATCTCTACAGAGGCCAGGGCGGCCCCGCCCGCACAACACCCCCGACGGCTAAGAGGTTGTCCCCCACAGCGCCACACCAGAAGTGGGCCCGAGCCTTTTGCATGGCAGGCATGGGAGCCCACACGTGGAACTGCGCGTCATAGCGGTGCACTTGGGCCGTGACCTCCAGTGGAACGGTTGGAGAAACAGAAGCTGGGCTGCCTGCTGGGCTCTCCCCTCCCAGCACGTAAAGGAAGTTGCCTATAGTGCACACACAGTGTCCCTGCAACGGGGTGGGTAGTCTGGTGAGGCTGCGCCAGCGGTGGTTGTACACGTCGAATGAGACCACATCTTGGGTCAGTTCCCACTCATCTACTTCCTCAGGTTGAACCTCCTGTTCAGCTTGCTCATCTGCAGCTTCCCCAATATCGCCTCTATTCTCTCCTCGAGGGATTTGAGCATCTTCAGCATCTTGAGTCACTGCCTCCTTGGCCCGGCGCCCCCCGACCAGTAAGATGCGAGTTTGGGGGCTCCTGCAGCTCGTCTGCTCGCTCTGCATTAGGGGCTGGCGGGAGGTGGCTCTGTGATAGCTGATAGCCTGGATTATTAGGCCCTTCACTCGGATGGGAAGGCTGAGGCCCGAGCCCGAATAGACCCGACGAAGCACCTCGGGGGGCACCAGGCCGAAGCGGATGCGTTCCAGAAGACTGGAGCAGTGCGGTTGGCGCTCGGCGGATGGATCCCGCAGCAACCAGACGAGCACCAGGCTCAGCAACCGGGCCTCAGCCACGTACGGCACATCTGGGGAGCCCAGCACCGCCTTAAGCGAGCCCGGGTTGAGCTCCAGAAGCCCCGCCTCCTCGGGGCCCCTGTCCAGCAGCTCTCTCATGTGGCGCCCGATGAAGCTTTCGGCCGCTGACTGCGCGTCGGACAGGCCAAAGCGGGTGGCGAGGTTGGCCACGAAGCAACAGCTCTCCAGGCCCAGGTGACGCACCAAGTAGCGGCTGCATAGGCCCACGGCCTCGCTCACCTGCAGGTAGCTGGCGGCCTCCAGCGTGTCTTCCAGCGTGTCCATGGACAGGGGCAACCAGGCAGTGTAGATGAAGTCCAGGAGGCGCTGAAGGCCGGTGGCCGATGGCACCTGCAGGTGAATGACTGGGGCCTGAGACTCCTGCGTGTAGCTCTTGAATAGAGCTTTAAAGTAGTCGCTGGAGCACGCCAGGAGCGACCTGTGCGCCGGGAACTCGCTGCCTTCAGCCTCCAGCTTCACGTCGCACAGGAAGCCCTCGTCGCGCAGGGCCTGGTAGTGGGTGAGGATGGCGCCTCCGTGAGCTTTGCAGTAGGACAGAAAGTAACTCATGGTTCATCATGCAAAGGGGAGCAGGCTGGAAGAAGGGTAAACTAAGAACAAGTCCCACACCCCTAAACGCATCCCGCACAACCAAACCAGCTCAGACTCAAGTCACCCGAGAAGCGGCCCCCACTATCGATTACCGGAGTTGGCAAGCGTCCTTCAAAGTCCCGATCTCTTTCATCTTTCATCTGTGTGAAAGTTGCCACCTTCCCCCTCTCCTAGCACAGGTGAGCCATGCCCTGGCTAAAATGCCCACAGGAGATAAGAAGGTGGAATCCACCGGACTTGGAGCCGTCCCAGCTTCGAGGGGTTGGGGGGCTGCTGGGGCAGAAAAGCTTTTTAGAAATGCAACCTTTGGGAGGGAGTCCCAGACTGCCCACCAAGGACAGCTGTGGCGCCACACCATCACCTGAATCAAAGGAGCTTCTGTTTCCCCCGGCTGCCCCTAACTCCCAATCTTCGAACTCTGACAGGCCGAGGCAAAAAGCAACGACAGATATGCAGACGCGGTGGAATTGAATAGGATATGGACGTGGAGGGCTCTGCTCTCCGTCGGACCCTAGTCTTTCTCAGTTAGCCCAGTTCCTAGGATTTTCATCTGCAGGTGGTCCAGGTTCAGAAGGTACACACGCCCGAAAGGTACACACACATACACAACAAGGGCTGGGGACGACTGGCTCCTGGGTGGGGGATACTGGGTGATCTTTTACCCTTACTCCGCGTGAGGGATTAAATCAGACCCAACGGGATTAGAGCAGAAGGCCAGGCAAGTAAATACGTTTAGTCACTGGTATAATTGGACATGCCTGGCCATCCGTGCCCAGTTCTCTACATAATATTACCGTAGCTCATAGATACAGGAATAGAGCGCAGACACAATCCTTTCCTTCCACACCAACCCGCTGGTCCTCACCCCTCCCGCTCCTCCTCCTGGCCTTACAATTTTGGATTGTAAATCAAAGGACGAGACTTGGAGAGCTGAAACTTTCGACTTTGAATGACCTAACTGGAAATCACGAAGATGGCCCTTTCGGATAGAAGTGTGTCAGGAATAGAGCAAAGCTGCGCGTGGGATGGGGGACAAGGGTGCAGAGTGGAAGAGGGCAGAGTGGAGAGGAGGGTTAAGTGTCCCTGAAGACCTAATTAATACAGGAGCCCAAGCTTTGTTCTCAGTGCTAGCTTGTCACCCCAAGCCCAGGACGTGGGGCAGCGTTGTTTCACCAGTTCCGCTGGGAAAGGGTCCGCGAGAGATCAACTTTCAGTTTGAAGGAGATCCTAATTAAACCGCAGGAAAGAGGGATTAAACTGTGATGTTTTCACAGTAACACCCAGGAGATTCAAAAAGAGCTCCGGCTGAGCTGAGACACAGGATCTGTGGGGTCAAGCAGGCTCTGGGTCATGAAGCTAACAGCAGCTTGTAACTAGTCTGATACTTGGACTTTTCAATCATTTAGTTGGAAAACGGGGATTTTCAAAGTCAGAATCCCTATTGTTGACATCTCGCAGGGGATCTGCAGTGGAAGTTGTGATTTCCCATTGCTAAATGGGTACTTTTCCCCCACATATGCCCCACTACCAATTTACACTTTTGCATGTTCATCTGTAGTCTCCTTTCCAAAAAGCAAGTGGAGAGGGGTTTGTTTTTATGTGCTTGAACAGTTAGTTTCCTGTAAGAAATCAATATCTAATAATTTCTTCAGATTTGTGTTCCTGATTTGCTACTTGCTCTAATAGCTGGTCAATCATCCCTTACTGCAGAACGAGATCATGGGTGTTTCTGAGCTCATCAGAGGCTGCTATCTCAAAGGACTTCTTTTCTTGGAATTGTTCTTAGAAACTGCAGGAGGAAGAAAGCCCACCAGCTTCTGCAGAAATAGTGGGGGGAGGGGAATTTAAGCTTTGTTTCTAGTAGAGATAAAATACTTTTTTTCCTTATCTCCATATTTTTAAATAAGCAAATTCACTTAATTAACAGATCAATAAAAATGAGGGGTTTCCTGTCACCCCAACGTGGAACGTTTGTGTTTAGAACTTATTTCCCGTTTTAGTTGGTTTTTAGTAAGTTTAAGGTTTATTAAATAGAATCTGGAAGAACTCATATTTCTGACTTCATAATTTGTATTTTATTAAAAAGATGAACAGTTTCCAATAAGGAAGGGCCACCGTGGTCTTACTCATCTCCCACATTCCCTGACCTGAAGCCTCTTAAAAATTTACAGTGAAGTTTTGATAGCTTCCTTACTTGTCTATTTAGTGTTCTCTCTTCACCAATTTAGGGCATCAAAAAAGTTCAGTAACCATCATTAGGAATATTTTATCTTCTAGGAGCTGAGAAAAAGACATGAAAGTTAATTTTCATTTCTCAAAACTGTAAAATTCAAGACTGGTCTCAGATTGGATATTGTTTAAACTCTACAGGCTAATATATTTTAAGGTTAAGAAAACAGAATGTTTCTGATTCAGGGAGTTGTAAATTTTTTTAAATGTTAGGATCCTTGGTTCCAAAATGAAGTAACAGTTTGTATTTCATCTCACAAAATCGTAATGAATTCAAGAGGCCTTTATTTAAGATTCAAAGAACATTAGAGTAGGAAGAGATTTAAAAGATCATTTATTCCAACCCCTTTTAAAGATGTAGAAACTGGGGCCAACTGTGGTTAAGGGACTTGTTTTTGGTCACATGGCTACTTGGATGCAAACCTTGGCCTATAACGCAGGACTTCTGACTCCTGATTCAGGACTCTTTCTGCCATGTATCTTAATGTGATGTTAAACAAAGTGATTGGTGTTACATACAATAATTGTGTTCAAATTTCACATACAGGATCAATCAAAATTAAAATGCAGGTTTTAATTATTTTAAAATCTATGTATCCTATCAAATCCTAACCAAAAAGAAATTCTGACAGATGAAATATTCACACACCACAGGCATATATACACATTCCAGTTAAGTCAAAATACACGAAAGGACTTTGGATTTAAATGTAGCATAAAGTTTGAGATATATGAATAAAATGAGGTTTGGTGGGTTTGGTATGGGGTTTTTTTGTTTGTTTTGTTTTGTTTTAGGAAATCATTATGACATCCAGTTCTACATAACAAGGCTACTTCCTCATCCTGGCCAAAAGCCCATGCTCACGCTGCTTTGCTGATGTGGATACAGTGAATTCTGTTGAATGAGAAATTCTGTATAATAGATGTGTTCACAAGTTCCTGTCTATTTAACAGACAAAGCAGTCAATATATTTAAAGGTGTTGTCCTTTCAGTAAGGTATTTATGTATCATACCAGTATTTGAATACCTGTACAATGTTATACATTCTTAATAAAATTCTAAATGGTTTTCCAAATGCTGTGTTGGAAAAGTTTGAGTTGCATAAATTTTTATTGGGATGAAGGGGAGGTTGATAAAAGGTGCTTCTTGGGTAAATCTAAATGATGTAGCAAAGAAAAACCAACTTTAACTCTATATTAATTTTTAAAATATTAAATAAAAATTTTTAAAAATCACAGAAGAAACTTCTTGTAGAAACTTGATATGCTCTTAAGTTAAAAAAAATGTGCACTGAACATCATTTGGTTACATTTATTAAGTGATCAGTCAATTATACCTTTTTACCTATCCTTATAATTTACATTTCTTTACTATCAATCCCTGGTTAAACATTAGGAATAAAACTATTTGTGCCCTGGTTTTTGGTCACAAACTCACTTTAAACCTACATTTTCCTGCATCCCACACATTTCTTGCACTGTCTGTGTTGTTTCTTATCATAAATCAAGGGTTCTTAAACTTTTTGTGTGTCATGGAGCCCTTAGTCCATTTGGTGGAAATTATGAACCCCTTCTCTCAGAATAATGTTTTCAAATGGATAAGGTGAAATCCATAGGATTGCAAAGGAAAACATTAATAGTGAAATACATTTATTAAAATATCTGAGTGCATATTCAACTCAACATTTATGAAGTAGAAACACAGCCAACCAACTGTGAAAGGCCAGAGGCCTGGGAGGTAAAGGAAAAGGGGCAGAGAGATTGAATGGTACCTTTGGTTCTCATCCATATAAAGTCCAAGGTCACTCACTGCGGTCATTGTCAGTCATCTTGACTTTTGTCTTGTCACTGGAGTCCAGTCTCTAGAGGAGAGAGTGAGGCTGATGACTTTTTGAAGCTCTGGCTCACTTAAGTCCAGTTCATGAAAAGGCAAAACATCACTCTGTGATGTCATTGGTCCTTTTCAAGAACAAAAGACAAATGACAACATATAAAGTACATTAGAGAAATCTGGAACTCTGTCACCTTAGAGATCACCTAGTTCAGTGTACTTAACCTTTTTTGTATCATGGACCCCTTTGGCAATCTAGTAAAGCCTATAGGTTCCTTATCAAAATAAAATATCTTTAAATGCATAAAATAAAATGCACAGGATTACAAAGAAAAATAATTATAATGAAATAGTTGCCCTTTTTTAAAAAAATTCACAGACTCCAGGTTAAGAACCTCTGATCTAATTCAACCCCTTTCTTTAGAGTGCCAAAGTTGGAGTCAAGAAGACTTGAGTTCAAATCCTGCTTCAAACATTTACTGAACCAGGGAAAGTCACTTTCCATGCCTCAGTCTCCTCTTCTGTGAAACGAGGGTTCAGGATTGAATGCCATGTCTCTGGTGGGCTAGTATACAGAATCAGCAGAATTTTATTCATTCTCTATTTAGCATTATTAGTTACAATTGTGAGTCTCCACTGCAATAAGATATTGTCACCATATAATTTTTTTGGTTTGGGGCTTTTTGTTGTTGTTTTGTGTGTTTGTTTACAACACATCTTATTGCCACTATCTTTGACTACTTTTAAGCTGTTTTTATTTTATATTTTTATTTATTTTGTTTATATTAATTTAGCTATCTAAATGGATTATATACCACTTTATTAGGAAAGAGATTTTACCCCAAAGACACTTAAAACATCAGCATCCATTTTAGTCTTTCCCTTCTAGACAGTGTTTGGAAAACCAGTAAATAATCACTGGTATCCTTTTCTAAGAGAAATTATAGATGTACCCAATGTCTAAACAATATCTTATTGATTACATCATTGTCTGGCAGTGGATCTGAAGGGCTTTGCTATGACAAAATAGCACCTAATGCTGAACTAGCCCATCATCCAATACTCTCCAAACATAGGCTTAGTCTAGTAACAGAGAAACTATTCATTATTTTTGACCATAGGCTGACCTTTCTACTACATATGACTGCATGGGGTGGTCTTTCTGAGATGAATACTTTTTTATTCTAGAAACTGAATTAAAACCATCTATTATAGCTGGTCTGATGGAGCAAAGGTTGGTAGAAAGGCCAGGCCAGGACTCAGCTGGCACATGCTGATGTTATTGAGAAGCATGTATAGGGTAGCATTCTCTGGAGTGATTGCTTACTTTATTACAAGCAGCCTCTTAATTTCAGCATAGTCTTCATCCAACCAGTGCTTGGCAGTTAGTACCAAAGGATATTACTGTGACAATATGCCGCTCACAATGCTGAATCAGTCATTGCTTGGTACACTCCAAATTCAATGTCTTCTCTATCATTAGGCTAGTAACCAATAATGATTGTTTCAAGCTTGTCCTGATTCTCCTCTCTCTGTCTCTCTGTCTCTCTGTCTCTCTGTCTCTGTCTGTCTGTCTGTCTGTCTGTATGTATGTATGTATGTATGTATGTCTCTCTCTCTCTCTCTCTCTCTCCTCCCTCTCTCTCTCTGTCTCTCTCTCCACCATTGATATTTCTTCTCCCAATTGACAAAGTAATCATTCAACAAAACTCAGTCATTCTCACTGTGCTTCTCCTTACACACTTATTCTTTTGGGAAATTCTCCTCTTCACCTGCTTTCAATTACAGCCCAGTGACTCTCAAACCTACATTGACTATGCCCTTTCACCTTCTCTAAGTTGTCTGGAGCAATGGTGTCCAAACTTTTTTGATCTTTTACTACTATCAGTCAAAAAATAAAAAAAGCAAACACCACAAATGTGTATGTTTACCAATTTAGAAATAATGTAAATACATTATGTAATATATTAAATATAATGTCATATTTTATATATTTCATAATACATTTACCTTATATATAGTTATAATATAAGTATAACACATTATGTTTATGTTAGAATGTCATAATGTAAAATAATAAATAATATATTATAAATATAATATATACAATAGAAATAATTTCTAAATTTTTCATGTTATACATAATGTATATTTTACAATTAAATATATGTTTCTAAATATGCACATGTGCTCTGCTGTATAATAATGCACATTATAAAACTTATGCAACGAATAGCTATTTTAAAGGAATGAGACAAAGGTGAAATAATATTTGATTTTGGAGTCCTTAGGAAGCTACTGGAACTTACCCTTTAGGGTAATTTTGTGGTCAGAGCCGGGATTTAGAAGGTGACTTTCGAAGCTATGTAGAGGATGAACTGAGGCATCCAATTAGGAGACTACTGAAATAGTCCAAGTGATAAAGCCCTGAATTAGGATGGTGACTGTATGAATGGAGAGAAAGGTCAGATGAAAAAGAAGTTGTGGAAGAAGAAATGACATGATTTAGCAACTGATTGGATATGTGGAATGAGGGAGAGTGAGGAGTTGAAAATTACACTGAGTTTGTAAACCTAGCAAATTCCAAGGATGGAGATGTCCTCCAATAAAATGGGGAAGTTCAGAAGAAGGGTGGGGTTGAGTGGTGGGAGATAATGTAACAAGATCTGAGATGCACATCACAATCCAACATGTGAGGCTCCTTGCCCTACACAAAATGAGACAGGCCAGGGTTCTTACCCACCACTGTCCTAAGGTGCAAAGTCCAACTTCTGAGAGTTCCTTACTGCAGCCCTGAGGCGATCTGGAGGGCAGCAAGGGAGTGTGGGTCAGGGCAAGAAGAAAAGAGGGCAAATTGTCCCCGTGTCGCTTGTGCAGTTGCTGCTGTATGTTTGGCCAGATTACATTATAACTCCCCTGTTGGGCCTGATTCTAGCTCAGAAGGGTGTAAGTGGATATTGGGACTTTGCAAAGCAGATGAGAAGATGAAAGTAAGCATGCTTATGTTCGATACAAGCCCTATTGATGGCTAATGAAAGAACCACTTGATATCATATTCCCTGGGGACAGGCCATAGCCCCCACTTAGAAGACCACTGTGTGGGAGGATAGCTCTACATATATATATATATATATATATATATATATATATATATATATATATATAAACTGACATCTAAGATTCTTTTTGTTTATTTGTTTGTTTTTTGTTGAGGTCGTTGGGGTTAAGTGACTTGCCTGGTAAGATTCTTTTGAAAATGGAATTCACCATTTTCCCCTAGTTACCCATTCATAATTTTCCCATTGACAGTAGTAGTAGTAATAATAAAAAAAAAACCTAACTTCATATAGCATTTACTATGTGCCAAACACTGTGGGAGTAGGTGCTATTATTATCCCCATTTTGCACATGAGGAAACTGAGGCAAATAGAGATTAAGCAACTTGCTCAGGGTCACCTAGCTAATGTTGGAGGCTGGATTTGAATTCAGATCTTCTTGACTTTATTACCTAGCTACCCATAAATGTTTGCTGAATTGAAATTGAATTACCATCAATAATACCACCATAACCATTCCCCTAAAATAAAAACCTTAGCGTTTCACTGTTCTCTCACTCTCCCCTGACAGCCAATTTATCACCATTTCCTGATGATTTTCCTGTATCTCCTCTCCTTTCCATTTCCACAGTCACCACTCCAGTTCAGGCCTTCCTCATATAATGTCTTAGGAAATTAAACAGCATCCTAATAACTCTCACTTCCTCCAGTTCCCCACACACACCCCCCCCCACTCTCAAATAAAGAGGAACAATCTCTGAGCATTATTTACATCAAAGGGAGGTAATGAGATGGAGTTCTGAACTGGGAGTCAAGAAACCCACCTCTGCCACTAACTGGATAAATAACGTTGGGTAAGCGGCTTACCCTTTCCAGATCTGTTTTCTTTTCTATAAAACTGGCTTTTTTTCCACAAAAAAAAAATGTACCACTTCTAGCTTCAAAATCTTATGATTCTTGCATTCTTTGTTGCCTGTTTCCTGAAAAAATTTTAATGGTCCCTATTGTAACTTAGGACACATGCCCCCAGATCAGTTTACCATTATTTAGATTAACCAGTGCAATGGATACACTAATTAGATTTACACTTCCAAATGCTGCAATTAAACTTTATTAATCAAATTCATGCAAACATTATTTTATATCCTCTATTAGCTAATACAAATATTAACCACAATAGGCACAATCCAACAATCTGATTTCCTAGGGCTTCTCAACAAACATGTTTCATAGTGGCACTCAATGAAAAAGTTTCT